GAGCCCCTACCTCAAGTTTGCACCAAAACCCTTGAAATGGGTCACAAATTTCGAAGCCCAAGGGATGGCCAAAAGCTGAAATTGATGGTATGGATGCGTAGAGCTCGTCGTGGGCTTCGTTTTACCTCAAACGGCACCCAATTCCGACAAGAGATGAAGGAGAAATCAAAGCTCAAAGATTTGGTTGAAAAAGAAAAAGAAAATAGAAGTTTGAGAGAGTGAGAGAGATAGATACAGGAGTGAGAGAGAATGGAGACCCTTGTGGTCTCTAGACCACTAAAGTGGTTAGTGGTGGGCCCCATGAATTTCTTTTATTTTTCCTTTTTCTTTTTGCTTTAATTATACACCATAAAAACATGTATATGCACCACCACTTGAATGTCACATAATTCACAGAAATTAAAATGCACAAAATGCAATTGGACCCAACCACAATCCTGCACACAAAACATGAAAAGACCAAAATGCCCTTCCATCAACGAAATTCAGGAAAAATTGAAAAAAAAAAAAACAGAAAATGGAAAACATCACACAAGCCCAAAGCGGACAATATCATACCATGTGGTGGAGTGGGTCGTTACAAATGGTATCAGAGCCTAGGTTAAGAATTACCTGGCTAAATGAAGTGATAATATGAACATGATCATATAATTATACGAATTATTTGCTCTTTTATCATGCTCCAGTTTAAAGTATAAGTTACTTGTGAGACTTATCATTGACATTCTTACTGAAAATAGGATATCAGGAGATGGAAGAGGCAAAGGACGACCTGCTAGAGGCAGAGGTCAGGGAGGTGTCGGTCGTGGTGGTGTTGACCATGACAATGTTCTATTGGAGGATGCACCGAATCCTATGATTAGATTTATCAGAGATATACGCAAATTGAGAACTGTTGAATTTGTTAGACCTACCGATCCACTTGATGTTGAGAAGTGGATTGAAGATATGGAAAAGTATTTTGAGATGATGGACTGCACTGAGGTGCAGAAAAGGAAGATTAGTGCTTTTCTTTTATCTGGTGAGGCCTTTTAGGGTAAAGCCCAAGAACAAAATTGTGCGGGCTTAGGCCCAAAGCGGGCAATATCATACTATGTGGTGGAGTGGGTCGTTACAAATGGTATCAGAGCCTGACCCAGCCGGAAGTGTGCCGACGGGGACGTCGGGCCTCCAAGGGGGGTGGATTGTGATGACCTTATGGGCAGGTGTGCTGTGGGTGGGTGCGAGAGACACTGTCAGGCTACCACACTAGTGAGTTACGGGTGCACAGTCCCACATCGCCTGGGTAGAGGAAAGGTGAAGTGCTTATATGTAAGTGTGTCATCTCCAATTGGTTTGAGACCTTTTGGGGTGAAGCCCAAGAGCAAAACCGTGCGGGTTCAGGCCCAAAGCGGACAATATCATACCTTGTGGTGGAGTGGGTTGTTACAAATGTGATGACCTTGTGGGCGGGTGCGAGAGACACTATCAGGCTACCACACTAGCGAGCTATGGGTACACAGTCCCACATCACCTGGGTAGAGAAAATGTGAAGTGTTTATATGTAAGTGTGTCATCTCTAATTGATTTGAGGCCTTTTGGGATGAAGCCCAAGAGCAAAACCGTACGGGCTCAGGCCCAAAGTGGACAATATCATACCATGTAGTGGAGTGGGTCGTTACAAATGATATCAAAGCTGACCCAGCCGGAAATGTGCCGACGAGGACGTCGGGCCTCAAGGGGGGTGGATTGTGATGACCTTGTGAACGGGTGTGCCGTGGGCGGGTGCGAGAGACACTGTCAAACTACCACACTGGCGAGCTACGGGTGCACAGTCCCACATCGCCTGGGTAGAAGAAAGGTGAAGTGTTTATATGTAAGTGTGTCATCTCCAGTTGGTGTGAGGCCTTTTGGGGTGAAACCCAAGAGCAAAACCGTGTGGGCTCAAGCCCAAAGCGGACAAGATCATACCATATGGTGGTGTGGGTCGTTACAATTCATCTTCACATTTGTATATCTTTGCATTTGCATCTCCAAGCTTAATAGTAATGTTTCGTTCAAGTTCATTTTTAAAACGAACTGTCTGCAAATTAATGTCAAACCATAAGAATTTACTCCTTATTCATTTCCCCTTTAAAAACAACATGATGTTAGTTGTAAAATCTATTCCAACAAATAATTGCAAAATTAAATAAATAAATATAAACTGACCATCGTTGAGAATTCAGTTTCATAACTCATAAACTTAACTGACAAGCGGGCCATAAATGCAAGAAAACTTCATGAATGTGTATGCTGTTTTATTTTTTAAAAAAATGGCACTATAAAGAACAAGTAGTATCAAAAGTAAGCTAGAAAAGCAGTCACCTGGATGCCGGATATCGCTTTCACCAGCGTCGATTTACCATATGCCACGTGACCAATAGTGCCTGATAAAAGATAATTAGGTCCAATGTATTAGTGTCAACTACAGGATTAAGGATTAGAAATCACTAAACCTTAACACACAGATGTAATATTGCACTAGTGGTAAGAGGCAGTTCACACATTCATAGTAACGATGATTACCAATATTTATTGTAGCCTGACGAGAAATAACTTCAGTTAAGAGTGGATGTAACTGTGTTACATCCAGCTTGCTTAAGTCCTACTCCATCAATCCTCCTTTCTCAGACATTGTTGCTATGTTGACTTTGCACTCCTGTATAAGCAAGTATTGTCATTCAAAAAATCCCGCGAAATGCCCCTTGTTCATGGTGACAGAAATATGTATAGGCCAATAAAATTATGCAATTTAATTAAAAAAATAAAATTGTCCTTGTACCGAATAGTTTTAAATCACTAGTTTTAATTACTTTGTATACAATTTATGCTAATCCAATCTTTAATACTGAAAACCTTATTATATTATTCACTTCGAGTTCAATTTCAGTAATGTAAAGCCAAAACGAAAAGGGTTTTTATGCAAACAAGACTCCTTAGTAACCAAGTTGGTCAGCAATTGCAAGCAGGACAGGTAGGGCCTGTTTGGTGTTTGTTCTACCATGTTTTGTTTTGTTCCCAAAATGCTACAGTACCACTATTGAGGCCCAAAACATGTTTGGCATGGTAGAATAACATTTTTTGGGCTACAAAAAGCACTGTAGCGGTGAGAACAAATTGGCCCATGGCAGAACAACAGGTATAAAGCAGTTGCAACACAAAAGTAGGGTTTGTCCTCATTTGTCGTGGGCGATTATAGAGGCGATTCCAAAAACCGTGGAGTGCGTTGCTGAAAACAATCTCTATCTCACCTCTGCGTTTTCCGACGAACCCCACCTCTGTGTTTTCCGGCGAACCCAAAGGTTCGGTGCGTAGATTTGTCACTCCGGCGAGCTCTTGTGCACTTTCGTCTGCCGATTCTGGTGTTTTTTAATTGAATTTTTGTTTGATCCAAATTCTCAAAAAAATTTACAATTTCTTCACCTGCAAGTCCATGGAATTGGAGATGAAGATCAAGCAAGGAAGGAACCATAAAAAATGAGGATTCAAGTATAAGAGTGTAAACTATTTTGATATATATATATATATATATATATATATATATATATATAAACTATTTTGATCTTCATCTCCAATTCCATGGACTAGGTCCTTGAGCATGAGATAAGTGTGTACGAGCATGACGTCCCTCTCCTTCTGCTTCTGTTTGGCTTCGGCAATCTGCCGCCAAAAAAAAAAAAAAAAAACGAAAAGAAAAAGAAAAAGAAGGAGGTTAATTTTAAAGAATAAATTATTTCCTTTGAAAGGACCAAAAAAAATTACCCAAAAAAAAAAATTGTTCCCTCTTTTGATAGGACTGAAAAAGATAAAATAAAATTTAAAAAACAAAAAATAAAAGGAGAAAGAAAAGAAGAACGAAAACAAATTGTGACTTATTAGTAGATAATATAATATATGATCAAATTTGTTTTTCTATTTTTAGTAAAAGGGTACTACGAAGAAGCAAACTTTCTATTTACAGGTTTTTATTGATAATTTTTTAATAAAAAAACACAACACTCGTACTAACTTCATGCAATGAAATTTATTGGTAATATTTACAGGTTTTTATTGGTAATTTTTTAACAAAGGAAACCTAACAATTTTTTTTGGTAAATTATAGTTTTGGAATTTGTCACTTAAAAAAAAAAAGATATTTCATGATTTTTTTTTACTGATTTTGGTTACACTTTCACCCTGTTGTAGACACTAAAATTTAGTGGGCTTTGGTTTTAACAAATGGACCCATTAAATATGGGCCTAATGTTTATTTAAGTTATTTAATTGGTCCAGGCTTGATCCACTTAAATTATTTAATTAGCCCAGCCCAGATGATTAAATGAAAAGATAATATTCCTAATAAAATATATTTGGAATAATTATTTTTAAGGATAATTATCATAATATAACCGGCCCGGCCCTATTATGATTTTATCCTTATTAGGAGATGACACGTGTCATCATCATATTAATCCAAGAAGCCTATAAATAGAGGCCTGAAGGAAGGAAAAAGGGGTACACAAATTCAAAGTCCAGAAATCTAGAGATTCAGAATTCAGAAGTCCAGAGACTCAGAAATCCAAAGACTCAGAAGTTAGAGACACAAATTCAGAATCTAAACCCAAAAGCGAAGAACGTCAAGCACATCCAATAACGTGTCATTCTTCATCAAATTCCACGGTGATCGACAATAAGCACATCCAACGACGTGCCATTCTTCATCAAATTCCACTTTGATTCAAGAACAAGCTCGTGCAGCCCTTGGATCCAACCAACAACAAAAAGGAGATCCAATCAGATGACCATTCTTTTTTATAAAAGATATCACAAAGGATTGTACTCCAAATATTTCTGATTTAATAAATTATTATTTTGCCCATATTTTGTCTTTATTTGCAGAGAACAAAATTTGTGTGTACAAATTTCTGGCACGCCCGGTGGGACCTCCTTTGCCTTTCATCTCTTTCTCCTACTATCAAGTTTCTTCTCTGTCAGATTCTATGGCTCCCCCTAAGGCTCAGACAGACAAAAAAGCCCCAAAGAACATCGCTGCTGCAAAGGTCGATGCCAAAGCCACCATGAAAAGTAGCATGAAGGCCAAAGCAAGTGATGGAAGTACCTTGGCAGGCCCTGTGACACGTAGCAAGTCCCAGGCAATCACGTCATCCAAACATCAGCAAGACTTGGTGAAAACCACTCCTGCAAAGCCGGCAAACGTAAAAACCCAACATGTCAAGAACCTTGACGTTGTTCCAAAGGAGATTCCGCTACCAGATTTACCTCATTCTGTTTATGATGCTCACTCTAGTGTCGGTTCACCCCCAGAGTCACCACGTCAGATTTCGGAGCAATCAATCACTCCAAGGAACGTTGACTCTCAAGGCCTATCATACTCAGATGTGGTCGCTGCTATGATGACTGGAGCTGCCACGGTGGAGGAACAACTAGCAACTATGTCTCGTGCTATTGAAAACCTCACAAAGACTGTTGAAGAGAAGGACTTGCAAATTGCTACACTGATGAACAAATTGGAAGTTTAGACCTTTGGTGAATCACCAGTACAATCCGGGCATCTTACATCTTCCACAACACCGCCAACGGGGAATCATACAACTTTCACCCCACCACCGTCTGGGAATCTTACATCTTCCACAACAATGCCAACGGGGAATCCTAATTCTACCGCACAAGGTACTCACATGAAGGACCCCAAACAGACGCTGATGACAGAATAGACAGCTAGTCAAAACCAGACGCCAGTGACAGAACAGGCAGCTAGTCAAACCAATTATGCTTCTTCAGTCTCTTCATTATCTGTCAAACAATTGCAAGATATGATAACGAATACAATCCGAGCCCAATACGGAGGCGTCTCACAGAGCACTCTCATGTACTCAAAGCCCTATACAAGGAGAATCGACAGTATGAGGATGCATGTAGGATACCAACCTCTGAAATTTTAGCAATATGACGGAAAAGGCAACCCCAAGTAACACATTGCCCATTTTGTCGAGACTTGCAACAATGCCGGAACTGAAGGGGACTTGCTAGTTTTATAGTTTGTCCGCTCTCTTAAAGGAAACGCGTTCGAGTGGTACACCGACCTAAAGTCAGAATTAATTGATAGTTGGGACCAAATGGAACGAAAATTCTTGAATAGGTTCTATAGCACTCGTCGTACTGTTAGTATGATAGAACTGACTAACGTGAAGCAATGGAAGGATGAGCCTGTAATTGACTACAGAGCACTTAGTCTTGACTGTAAGTCAGAAGTCTCTGCTGTGGAGATGTGTATGCAGGAAATGCATTGGGGCCTTCTGTACATTCTTCAAGGCATAAAACCTTGCACATTTGAAGAATTGGTTACGCGTGCCCATGACATGGAGATCAGTATAAAATCCCATGACGACAAAAGTCTGGTGGCCATAGAACCACGCAAAGATAAGAAGGATTGGAAGAAGGGCGACAAGTCCTCAAAGACCACTGCTAAAAATTCCATGGCTATCTCAACCACCCCAATCAAGAATTCTGTTAAAGATGAGAAGAAGGAGGATAAAAAGCCTCGTCAGTTTCAAGAGAGGGAAAGACAGCATCCTACGCTAAAGGAGTTAGAGAAGAAGGAATACCCCTTCCCCGATTCTGATGTCCCTGGCATATTGGAATGTTTACTTGAAAGTAAAGTTATAGAACTCCCTGAATGCAAACGCCCTCAAGAAATGGGACGTGTTAACGACCCAAAATACTGAAAATATCAATCGTATTGTCAGTCATCTAATTGAGAAGTGTTTCATCTTCAAAGAGGTGGTGATGAATCGGGCAAAATAAGGAAAAATCTTGTTGGACACAGACGAAGTTGTAACTTCAAATCATACTACCGCTACTTTGACAACCTCTGTCGTGGGGAGTGTTCGTTCTCAACCTTCAAATTCTAAGGTCTATTACACAACCATCCAGTTTGGCTCATTCGAACCAATCCCCATCTATCTTGGCCAAGGAAGTGTACTTGACGTTTCAACATTTCGAAGAATCCTTCCTCAGGATGATGAAGAAGGATAGACTTTGGTGACAAGAAAGAAACCACAGAAGCAACGAGCTGACATTCTCCAGACTAGTTATTTCGATAGGGGGCAAAGGAAAAAGAAACCTCAATACTGTCATAAACAGTATGGTCATAATAGAAAATGGGTCAAGAAGACACAGTCATCCAAACACGCCTCTATTAGCAAAGGGATCTAGAAGCTCGTTACTTTGCAAGAATTCTTTCCAAAAGGATATCTAGATGACGAAGTTGTGACAACTTGCATGGTATCAACCGAGAAAACGAGCCCTGATGATGAGAATCGCATACCAAGTCATGGCTAAGTCGGGGTATGATTTTACAAATCCTGCAAACCTTGGAAAACTAAATTCAGAGGTCACCGGTGAGAAAATGCATGGCCTCAATGAGACACAGAAGAAGTTGAAAGATCAAGGGCATAAAATCATTCCACCCAAGTCTGGTATCGGTTTCGTACCTTCTGAGCCACTTCGAATTCACATCACAAAAAAGGATAAGAAGTCAAACACTTTTTACATTGGGTTTGAAAAAGTCAAAGATTAACAAGACCAACAGACTATGTGTAATACCCTGATATTTTAAAAGATTTATTAATTGAAACTAATTACTTTTATTTTATTTTAAATAATTTATTTAATTTAATTTGAATTAATTGTGTTTATTTTAATTTTTAATTGATTTGTTTTATTTAGTGCTTAGATTAATTGTTTTATTTTATTTATATTTCGTGATTATTGATATGATGATTGTTGTGTGTGTGCTTAATTGTTGATTGAATTGTTGGCGTGTTGATTTTATTGGTATGGTATGACTTAGTTGTAAATTATTGTTTGTTTATGTGCTTTATGTAATTAGTTATTTTAATTTAAGTGTTCATTTAATTATTTTATTTATTTAAATTAATTGGATTTGGGCTTAAGGAAAGTTGGACCAAAAGATGTAGTATTGGGCTTTTATGAAGCCTTATTGGGTTAATTAATAAAGGTCCATGGTTATTTGATTATTTAAATGATCATTTTTTTGTATAATTATAAATATATATATATAAATATTTAATTATATATAAATATAATTAATTAATACGTGTTATGGAAGGATATATGGATAGATATATATTTATGGATATATATGGGATCTATGATTTAATTAACCAATGGTTAATTATGGAAGATATATATATTTACATGTAATATAATATATGTTAATATATATTATATTATTTAAAGATTATTATTTTATTTGAGATTCCTTGTTGGAATAGGATTTGGATTTTAATGTGTATAAATATACACATACGGCTTTAGGGTTAAAAGTTTACACGTTAGAAAAATAAGAGACAAAGAATAAGAGAGGGTTGACAAGGAGGAGGCCGAATCTGAGAAGGAGGATTGGGAGAGACAATCAAAGCTTGAAGCGTCGGTTTCGTTTTGAAACCTTCAGGCAAGTTCTTTTCTAACTCTCCTCTTAGGATCCATAAGTTTATCACCTTGAGTATCAGAATTTTAAATTAAATTTATTAATTAAATCATAGTTAGATCGGAATAATTAAAAACATAAATTAATATATTTGATTTGTGGATTTATCGGATTTTAATTATGTATATAGGTGTTGTATAAATATTTAAAAATTAATGTATAGGTGAATTTGTGACCCAAGAGGATTAATTAAGGTTTCTATATTTTCTGGTATTTTTCTGGAATTTTCTGGTTTTTTTTATATTTTCTGGAATTAATTAGATTGATTTTTATAGTAATTATTTAGAAATTTACGTTATATGTATATATATAGTATATATACGGTTTATATATATATATATATATATTATATAAGAATCTGGATTCAGCGCCTCCAATAAAGGGTGCGCTACAGTGCGGCGCGGCATACAACGCTACAGTGCGCTCAAAATCAGGACCTTAGGATGGTCCTGATAATCAGAGGAGGATTCAGTGTGATGCGGTACGTAGTAATAGTGTGTATAAGCGGATCTGGGCCATTGGATTAGGTTTGTTAAAGTGGGTTGATACAGTGTGGTGCGGCTCCATAAAGGTTAAGTGTGCTAAGAATCTGAACCCTTGATGCGAATTGATTAAAGAGAGATTGATATGGTGTAGCTTAGGTGCATGGAGGCGCGGTGAGATAATCCAGTGCATCGCGGCTCACAAAAACAGAAAGGAGCAGCCAACCAGAAGAAGCCATGTCATCCAAAAGTAAAAGAGGCGCGTGGCAGCGCGTGAAACACGCGTGAGGGAGCGTGAAGGCAGCTGCTAGCTAGTGGTTGCTCGTGGAAGCGCATGAGATGTGTGTAGGAGCGCGTGGGGGCGCGTGGAGCACTGTTTAGGGTCCCGTTAAGGTTCGATGAATTCCTAGAATTGGTTATAAGCCTGTTGGGGTTGAAAACAACCACTAGATGAGGTGTTCTTGGTGTCCTGAAAGTCATAGAGTGTTACTACAATGATTAGTATCATTTATTTTGCATAAATATAATCACTTATTATATTGGAATGTGGTGTATATATGTATATATATAATTATACATATATATGTGTATACATGGATTTTATTAAATTATGATTAGTATGGAACGAAGGATATATATATATATATATATATATAGAATTTAAATAATCAAGGATTATTAGGGAAATATTATACACATATATATATTATATAATATATGTGTATATATATGTATGTGAATTAAGATTATTAGTATTATTTTTTCTTATTTGATATATTTGGATAGACTGGTTATTAAATTAGGGATGTGCTTATAATCTGCATGAGATATCTATGTATAAATTAGTTGTCGTTAAGCCTACAATTTGTACATGGATGAGTTGCCATAGGCGTAAATATATTGCCTAAGTATTTGTATGAATAAAATACATACATAGGAAGCATGGATGAGTTACTAGTTAATTAGTATAAATATATATACTTGTAGAGGCATGGTTGAATTGTCAATGTATAAATAAATATACTTGTGGAGGCATGGTTGAATTTCCAATGGATAAATTTATATACTTAAAGGAGGCATGGTTGAATTACCAATATATAAGTAAATATATTTATAATGGCATGGTTGATTTGCCAAAGTGTAATTATATTGGTATGTGTTAGATGATTAAAATATATCATCTATGGTTGTTGTATGTATAAGTTGGATTAGGATTAGATATTCTTATATTAGAATAGTCTAGTACTTACAGGTTAGTGTATTATTTTATATATTTTAATAAAATAATACTGGTGCTGACATGGATGATTTGTCAAAGCCTAGGTATTGACTGTATGGTTTATATAATTAAATTCATTATTGGATTTTGGATTAAATATAATTTTCTTTGAATTATATTTTATTATTTAAATGATTAAATAATTATTTAAAATGGAGTTAAGGTTAAAGGTCTCTTTAAAAGAGAAGGAGTTTTGAATTGGTTTAGGTATGATTATGTTTTAATCATGGTTTAATAGTTTGAAAATTAATGAAACTATTAAAGGATGTGAATGTTATACTGTATATAACTATTTATACATATGCGTATCATTGTATATTAAACTTAAAACTTTATTAGGTTTGGTTTTGATCAGAGATGATCTACTTATTGGTTTTCAGAGGTCTGGTAGAGAGAACTTGCTCGTAGGGTTTAACCCACGATTTATTTTTCAGGTTATTA